TGTAGTATTTGGAATAGTATTTAAAATGGGATTCCAGAATTCGCGCAATACCAATCCCCGGAATAGAACAACTTTGAATGGAATAGCACTTAAACTTTATTCGAATCGTATGCTATGCCTATTCAATGCATTTAAAGCGTACAATAAATTTCGAGGTCAGTGTCACACATCACATATTGCTGCTTGCTGGGGTAGCTGTCCGAAACTAGAGAATATAAACAAACCATCATAATCCACGGAAATGATATACACGTCGTAGCACCGCAGAAAGTCCCAAACCCTCTGGTGCATGAACTTGGACGCACCTTAGGAGAAAGCCTGTTTACGTCCTAGAAACCTGACCTGACCTGATCAACGATTTATGGAGTAAGAATTATAGCGAAGGGTTTGTGGTGTGCCCGGTAGTATGGGAAAATCCAGACAATAACAGAAAACTGCCGGACATCATTTTTCCTCCATAATCTAAATATAAATATAGCACTGCACTACACCAACAGATCTGCTGCTTTAGGAATAACAGCGACTCCCGTCGGATTAGTACAATATGCAACGGTGAAAAAACTAGAAGCAGAATGCTGGGAAATCTCCTATCGACTGGACCGTTTCGCTAAACAAACTCAATATGAATCTGCCAGCCCACACGCAGCGACCCCATGCCCCGTGTGTTTTGATCAATGATAGAAGACCTGACGAGGCCTGAAACCTTTTTTCCCCGTCTTGACCCGATCACCCACGCCAAAACAGTGATATCACTCAGAAGATAGTCGTACTGACATGACTTTATATAACCATATTTTCCAAACACAAATCTTCTAGCATATATACAAAAAGATTTCAAAAACTCCATCCATTCAGGCTTTGTCTCTGTTCACCTCCACACGATCATCGTTCAAACATCTCTACCATGTACGATAATCGCCGTTTTGATTTCTCCTCCTGGATCAAACTCAATCCTGAATAACAAAACTCATTGAAATATGTACACGTTTTCTATTTTTCCAATTCCACCCCTGTGACTTTTCTTCTCCATATCTCCTTATCGACAGGACTATAAACTGTCAGGAATGTGCTACTTTGCTCACCTTCCTTTTTATCAATTTCCCGAATGAATGAAAGGTCCATTGACCGTTATGCGGTTCTCTTTGCTCTGTCGCACGCAAACATAATCGCGTTCTGTTGTTTTTTTTTAACTCCATTAACTCTGTCGACCCAAATATTCTTTCATTTTTTGTACGAGATGATCGTTTACCCACGGCATGCCTCACAACTTTTGTCGTGAAATATACCATTTTTATTGTTGTGTTCACATTTTTACTTCAGTACCAACGCTATTTGACGTTTGTTTTACACGATCACTATCAGATGCGTTCTGTCGCGAGGGCACTTTCCTTTTTACTTTCGATCTGTTTGTAGGTTATTGCGTTGGTTGGTTCTCTTTGCTTTCATGGTTTTACGCAAATTCTCGTTAGCAGGTACCGATACGTTCCTTGTGCCGTGGTACCTCAGTAGACGTCCACAAAACCCCAGGGCTTCTGGTTTAACCAGCTGTAACTTGGTTAATTGCGAGTTCAGAGTCCCGTTCTGAGGTTCGTCAGGACCGACCGTAGTCGGCGCGCTTTAGGTTTACACGTGCAACGATTTAGCGCGACTCACCGGGACAAGTGAATCGTTGGCAAAAGGTGAAAGTGTTACTACACATTCCCTGGGAGGGAGGCCGCCTATCTTACATCTGTTCCTTACCCGACAGCTTAGTGAGATCATCAACATAGGACTCAAGGTGCCCCTTGGTAAAAGCGATCACAATTTACTGTTGTTCAAAACCCCTCCCCGGTCAGTGGTGCTGCAAATTTGAGCCAGTGGATGTGAAGAACTTGAGGCGCGATGCCCCAGCCACAGCTCGGGTGCCGCAAGGAATAGAATCGCCCGTTGATCAGAGGTGGGAAATAATCAGGGATCAGCCGTTAGAGTTGTTGGAGAAGCATGCTATCGTTTTTGATGAACTCAATGTGTTGTTCAGTGCCAGCAATTTCTAATATTCAACATCCTGGTGAAAGCGGCTGGAAAATCTCAGGCAGAACCAGTTGCCAGCCCACGATGACCGAAGGAGACAACGTTGGAATAAGTGCAATTTTTGTGGTCAAAGGCATTCGCGGCTAACCGGTAGATTCATAATGCCAAGTGTTACAATTGTAGTAAAATCGTCCATATTGAGGATGTCTCTAAAACTGCAAAGTCATGTCGTACAGAACTTAGTCTATAGCTGGAGGTGCTATCTCACGACCTGTGGAAGCGATTTGGTCTCTAGTTATCTGTGGTCCTCGATAACCCGATAGGCATCAGGAATGACACCCAGTTAGTCAAGGGAAATATATTGTCCCCTTAAAAGCACTGTAAGTTTAGCCCAACCACTCTCGAGAGTACCTGAAAGCGAAATGCTTTGCAAGCAAAGACGTAACACTGAAATCAAGCATCGTTCATAGTAAAGTGACCTCACCGGAGGTGGCAGTGACTAAAAGAAAGATAAAGGACCTAGAAGAAGAAATGGTTTCAGGATATCGACAATCCTGACGGAATATATGCTATAGAGTAGAATGATACGAATACTCCAAGCAACTCATGCCTACAACCATGCAAAAGCACACACGCGGAGCAAGCAGACCACTCTCGAGCATGTTTCACTGTCGGTCTGAAGCCACTACTAAACGACCTTCAAAATTCCAAAGATTTATTGTGTTTTGCAGTCTTGAGCTCCAGCTAGTATAAGTTCACATCCCTCTCGCCATATCATTCTTGATTTCACCATTAATTACTCTATTTGCCTCACATTCATCATGGACACCGGTAGTGTTGATTCATTCATTTCAAATAAGGTGTTTCGTCAGTTGAACCCCTAGCTGTACTTTTTCCTACACACTATTCAGTTAAGCAAATCAGTAGTCACTTTTTGCTCGTTTTAGGATCATATGATTTACTTCTTAAAGACGATCAGTATAAAATATTTCACTTTCCGTTTTTGGTTATCTATTTCGATACTTCTATCATTGGTTTGCAAGTCATGGGCCATGTGCATCTGTCATTTTCTTTTGTGTTTGACTCTCGACAATCATGCCTTAGTTATTTAGTACTCGAATGTTCCAGGTTAATGGGGGGTGTAAAAATGAGTCCCGTGATTCNGATTCTAGAGGCAATCCGTTCTCCGATGCTTATGAAACATCCAATTATAACGCTTGAACTTCATGAGCCCGTAAAAAAGATGTAAGACGAAATGGTCGGCAAAGGAGTTCTGACACCAGCGAGTTCTTTGGCTTGGGCCACGCCTATTGTCACTTCTCCAAAGCGTGACGAAGAGACTCCTTAAATATGTGGAAAATATCGAGTTACTGTGAACAAGGAAATTAAAACAGTCTAGTTGTGTCACTGTTTATCTGTTTATCCCAGTTTTTCTCTAATCGGGACTTAAAAGATGTTTGTTCAGATGCTCCTGAACGTACGACTAATAGAATATCTTTTGGCCTAGTTCACTACAATTTTCTACCGTTTGGACTCAGTCTGTCCCCCACTTTTTCCAGACAACCATTAATTCCATTATTTCCGGTTTACTAGGTGTGAAATCCTATCAGGTTGATATTATTTTTCGTGCTCCTAGCAGACAGTTACATGACGAACGCTTGTGTGCTTTGCTTTAAAGATTTTGTTCTCACAATTTTGCTAATAACCCTGAACTCACTTGTTTAAATTATTTGTTTGAGGAATCTGGATTCCGTTTTGACCCCGATCTATTTTCTTTATTGATCAATGCTCTAGTCCCAAGTCATTTGATGAAATTCATTCTTCAATTGGCTAACTTCTTTTCACACCGAATCATGCACATGTGGAACAAGTTACCTGAAGACATAGTCAACTGCACAAGCTTCAAAGTGCTTAAGGCAGATCTAGATTCCTGTTTGGCTGAGAAGTTCCCGTAGGTCGGTATCTAAAACAGGGAAGCACACCAGGTGACCTACAAGGTAAGGGGTTGCCTCATGGGATAACGTGTACGATGCATAGGAATCTGTGGAATGCTTTTAATGAAGGTCTCTCACCGAACAGCCGAGAAGACAACTTTTTCTTCTTCTTTTACAGAACCGGTTGTGAAGGCCTCCCTAATTGAAAACTATTTTAGTCGAGAAGGAACCCATTAGACAACCGAATACGCAGTGCTGGAAGCACAGAACATTGACCGACAACAAAGAACTAGACGCGCAATTCACAAGAGCCACATATCGTCCTGAGAAAATGAACTGAACTGAACACTACTATTCCAAGTTTATTCCAAATTTTTCAACTCAAACTGCTCATTGTTCGCTTTACAGTCACAGCAAACATTTCGGTCCATGTACGTGCCTTGGAGGAGTTACTTTCTTTTTCATTTACCAGTGCTAGTTTACGTCCTTTTCCTCATGATTTCATTCTGCTGTCACCACGAATACATCTACCGTTGAATTGGAGCTGTGTCAGAGCAGAACGGTCATCCGGTGCCGTGCATCTCACGGAGGCTCAGTGTCGCCGAACGTGGGTATTCACAAACTCAACGAGATGCTCTAGTTATCTATTGGGCCGTCACGCGTACACATAAGTATCGTTTTGGTACTCACTTCACTATTGTCAATGATGGTGAAGCCTTGAAGTTCATTTACAACCCCCAACGCTCCCTGGCTAAGTCATCAGCAGCCATCACACAACGACGTATGTTTGCGTTGTTTGTCTATTCCCATGACATCCATCAACAGAGGTCACAGTAGTGGATGCTTCTACGGGCGATTGTCCACTCACCCAAACTCTCCCGGTAAGCCAATCTGATTGAGTTCTCGAAATCAGGAAGTATTATCACGCTATCATGTCCTGTGTCCGTCGAGTTTGGCGAGGTGATATCAAGCGTCGATTTCCGGAATACTGCAAACGTTGTGAGGAAAGTTTTGTGACGTGTGATGGTCCCCTGTGCTACAATGATCGCATTATTGTGCCTCCAAAATTACGTATTGCTGTTCTCAATGAATTACATTCCGGTCATCTTGGCATTGAAAAGATGAAGTCTCTCACCCATCTCACCTGTTGGCGGCCTGAACTGGATCATGGCCTGAATCGTGTTGCGAAATTCTGTGCTGATTATTTGCACAAAGATAATAGACAACCTTCGAAATGGACGCCGTAGTGATTACACACACAATTAACTGTGTTACAGAAAACTGGAGCTTCATTCAAGCTGCAGCGTACGTGGTGATGGCGCACGTTACCACCCAGCACCCCCTGGAGGTTTGCTTATTCTTGGTTCATTCTAAAAGCGGTCACTTAAATATTTCTAATAATTTATGTTATATGTTTAATAAATATCTGGGTGTTTCTTTTTATGAAATAAAAAAGTGTATTTTTACCCGATTTGTTTTAATTTGTGACCTTGAAACATGTCGGACGGTTGGAACATGTACTGTATGTTCCACCAAATTCAAGGAAAGGCGATTATGGAGTATAAGAAGGACCGCAATTTACTGCTTAGAACACGTGCCTGTACACTCGGTCGCATGCTAAACACGCAGGAGTTTTCACGCAGCCAGGAAGCTTTTGGTTTTCGGTGCACAATTTGTAAGAAGAGAATTTCTATTCGTTTAGGCAGATTCTGTGCGAAAGCAAGGCCTTCATTACCTTCATTACTCTTAAGGAATTGGTTTTTTATTTCATGATGGAAGGACCCATACACTTGCCTCAGCAATGGATTATGTTTCACGCAAAATGCAAAACGCTTACTGCCGAGATGTGTGTTCATCTGTGATGTGCTCTTTGTCTATGCGACTTGGCGGTGTCAGTGCAATTATGGAGGTAGATGAAAGTGTTGCCATGAAAAGTAAATATGGTCTAGGTCGACCAACACCCACCATTTGAATGTTCCCAAAGGCACAATGTAACTTGGAAAAAGGATATTTCCCAAAAGTGGTGAACCGGTACTAAAACCTCCGGTTTTATTACCCATTGTTTAACGTTGTGTTCAGCCGGGAACCACCATTTACACCGATCAGTGGACAGGATATTGCTCATTGTGTTCCTTTGGTAATATACACATGCGTGTTAACCATACCGACGGTTTTGCCAACCTCATAACTGGAGTCTACACCTGTTGGAGTCGTATCAAAAGGCGATTGAAAAACGTTACCGAATCAGTTAGAGATGTTATATGGGAATATCTCGATGAGGTAATAATAATAATAATAATAATAATAATAATAATAATAATAATAATAATAATAACGGTATATTTCACGGAGCCTGTGAAGCATGTTAGCGCGCATGATTTAATGCATAACAATGTAAAACTAATGACGGTCCAGACAAAAATGAATTGTACAGAGAGGGTAAGAACGTAATTTTCAGACGGGTATAGAAGACATCGTAACGATGTATTGCGGTGAAAAAGAAATACAAAGCGGACAAGCTCATATAATGGAGTAGTGGGGGCGATCTGTTATGGAGATCACATCGATGTAAACGGTTGTATTATGAAGAACATTGAGGAAGACACAGAACTGGAGTTGGAAATATCCGCTCTGGAGATAATGCGCGGAAACAAGTTCGGAGAATAGAAACAGGATAGTGAACGTGAAAGCTTTGGAATTTCAGAGGAAGAGCTGCAATCGAGCCAAGGAAGTGCAACGGTATACAATAGGAAGACAAATAGATTATAAATAAACTGTTTCAAGGATCGATACAAATGGACTGACTTCTGTGAACAAGGAATAATGGGCTTCAGGGCTTCACTGTTAACGGATTGTCTGGTTTATGTTATTTATGTTAGGCGTTGGTCGCTTTGATGTGGGACTGACTACAGGCTAGACACGCAACCTTAAAACACCTTGTAGGTAAAGCAGGGTGTGATCCTGGTCCGGAATGCGGACGCATGTAGTCTGAACGGTAGAAACAACCACGCCCAACAACCATTGCCGAAGCCAGATTGTCCATTGTGGGTGTAGACCTAAGCCTTCGGCATGCCCAAGCCAACCGAATCTGAAGAAAAAAGGCGAAATTAGGCATTCTGGGGTAATACCCAGCTGAAAAGGGGAAAGGGGGAACGCAGCATGTTGCAAATGAATATGCGGAGAGGTTTATTGCCCGGAAGTATATATATATATATATACATGTAAAGGAAAAATGGACTGGGGTGGATCAGTAGGATTGACGTGACAGGACGGAACTGAAATGTAAAGAATCATGGGTGACAAAACCAGTGTAGGGCTTCACCTAAAAGGTTTGTGTTCCAATGAGCTACCTTTGAATCTCGACCAGTGTATTGAATGAAGAAAAGTTGAAAGGTAAACATTGATGCCAAGCAGAATGCGCCACGGATCTGAGGAAAATCAGAGGGATTGAGATGAGAGCATGGAGCCAAAATATGAGGAATTCTGGTTGGTAAATCTAACGCAAATAGTAACGACGCCGAGGGGATTTGAGTTAGGATTATTGGGTCACAATACTGGGTCACAATCCAGCTTTGAAGCTGAATCCGTGCACTGATTCGAATTGGGTTTAGAAAGTGAAGACAGCTACCTGATTAGCGTGTGCCACGGAAATTGGGCCAACTTAGACAGTTGAAAAAGGTATCAGACACATTTCGAGTGCTGAATAAGATGTCTATGTACAGCTCGAAAGTTTATTGTTATTTTGTGGTGAATATAAGTGTGTACACAGCAGCTTGTCTATCAAGGGTCACAGCATATTGGGAAATCGAGACTGTGGTGTTCTAATATTTCAAACCCATCTAAAATCCCTCTTCTGTTCGAAGATTCACACCTGTTATGAAAAGCGGATTTTCCATCTTGAACAATTCCTGGAGCATCATTTTGAATTTGATCGCTGAAGAGCATTTGCTGATCTTTTGGGGAAGCACACTTCCATAACGTAGTGTTTTTATCGGGAAGAAGTTGGATTGGAGGGGGAGGCGAGACCTAGGTGTACTTCAAACAATTCACACTTGAATGACGCACAGCCACAACCGATACGAATCCCGAAATAAAACACAATTGATCCGTAATGTTCTACAATACTGAATTACCGAAATCATTAAATGTACAATAAAGCAAACCTCAAATATGCAGCCAAAAGCACTCAAGCAAGCGAGCCAAATATGATGTCCAGAGAGAGCCGAACAGTCGCTCACGTTCTCTGAGCACGCAAAATTTAAATGTGCCTGGCATCAAAATAAAATATGAAGAATAATGTAAGGTGTTTGTGATTGAGAAATGTCAATAGAGAAGCAACACACAGATAGAGTTATGTCACCATAAATCATCATGGATTCGGAAGGATTTTCAAAAATTNCAAAGGGTTGGCGCAGGTCATTGATTCTTGTCTGCCTATCTACCTACCTAGTCCCTGCTTCTACCTACGAACTGTTCAGACTCGGCCGCAATCGCTGGCGACTTGCACATTTCTTCGTCGAGATCTGCTTTCTGCATCAGCACGCTTGCAGCCAGTCACACAATAACTTGATAGCAGTGGGTCAAATGAATATCATTAGAGATCAAGTTTCGATGTGTGGGCGATGTAATTAATGTTCAAGTATACAAATTAAATCATGTTCAGCATGCAGGTGATAGTGTGCATGTGAATGGATGAATGCTGTGAGGATATGGGTTACACCTTCGAGGTTCATGTCATAAATTGTGC